CTTGTTTAACAAAAGAAAGAAAAGACACAGATAACTCGATTAAGAAATGACAGAGGTAACATCACAACAGAACCAGAGGAAATTAAATTGATAGTATCAGAATACTATGAAAAGCTATACTCTGATAAATTTGAAAACCTAGAGGAAATGGACATATTCCTTGAAATGCATCCTCTGCCCAAATTGACAAGGACAAATACAGAACACTTGGACAGACCTATCACAAGAGAAAAAATTGAAAAAACTTCCCCATAAGAAAAGTCCTGGACCAGACAGCTTCACAGCTGAATTCTATCAAGCATTCAGAGAGGATTTAGCACCCATTCTACTTAAATTATTCCAAAAGAATTGAAAAAGAAGCAACACTTCCAGAGTCATTCTATGAAGCAAGCATAACCCTAATACCAAAGCCAGGCAAAGATATTCCTAAGAAATAAAACTTCAGACCAATATCTCTCATGAATATAAATGCAAAAATCCTTAACAAAATCCTAGCCAATAGAATCCAAAAGCACATAAAAAAAATAATTCACCATGATCAAGTGGAATTCATAAAAGGTATGCAGGATGGTTCAAAATAAGAAAAACAATCAAGAATAACAAGAACCATATGATCTTAGCAATTGATGCAGAAAAGGCATCTAACAAAATCCAACACCCCTTCCTGATAAAGACACTCAGCAAAATTGGAATAGAAGGGAATTTCCTACATAGTGAAAAGTACATATGCAAAGCCAAGAGCCAACATCATTCTCAATGGAGAAAGACTAAAAACATTTTCCTTGCAAAGACCAGACAAGGATGCCCACTGTCCCCCCTTCTTTTAAATATTGTATTGGAAGTGCTTTCTAGGGCAATATGACAAGAGAAAGAAATAAAAGGCATCCAGATTGGTTAAACTGTCACAGTATGCAGATGGTAAGATAGTGTACACAGAAAAGCCCAATTACTCAACAAAAAACTGTTAAGAGTTAATAGACCAGTTTAGTAGAGTGGCAGGATATAAGATCAATATCCAAAAATTAATAGGATTCCTCTACAATAACAAAGAGAACTCAGAGATGGAAATAAAGACAACAATACCACTTATAATAGCCAACCACAAATTGAGATACTTGGGAGTGAATGCAATTTGTCTTTTGTTCTCCTGACTGCTGATATCAATAAAGTTGATTGTGGAGTCAAGCAAACTGAGTCTGTTAACAATCTCAATCTCTTCATCACTGTCTATCACAATGCTGCCAATCAACCCAGTAATGAGAATCTTTGTTTTCTTGATGTTGAGCTTCAACCTATTATTATTACTATTACTACTACTACTACTATTTTTGCCATTCTAGTAACCATGAAGTGATCATTTATGCCATTGAACATCTTATCATATGCTTAATGGCCTATGGTTTTAGGATTGAGATTCCTTTTTTTTGACATAAATGTCTATTCAGAGGGCACATTCATGAATCCATTTCCCTTATATGAGCAGCCTTAGAGACAGGAGCTTCATTGGAGGGTCAGTCCCATCCTGTTCTGGGATTAATTCCTGAAGGCTTGTTCCTTTAGCCCTCTCAACCATTTCTAAACATCTGATTTCCTGGATTCAAGTCTTTCCTACTATAAGTATCTAGAGTATTTTATTTCCAACGTTAAACATTGATATTATTATTATGTGACGTTGAATTGGAACTGACTTATAGAAGACCCTCAGAGGCAGTAAGCTGCACAAGAGGGACTTTCCCCCCCAGAGCTACTAGGGGATTTGAACTGCAAGACTTTGGGTTGGCAGCAAAACTCCTTACCACTAGACCACCCTTAAATATACTATTGAGGGTATTTGTTGTTTCTTAATTTATGACTGTGCTCTGGATAGCAACTTGAAGTTGTTAGAAAGCTAGGTCTTGTTCACTATGCTAGTAATTACACATGGGAACTCTGGTGGCCTGCTGCCAACTCAAAGTTGACCCCTCTCTGGCAGTTGGACTCTATAAGTGCTTCCACAAGAGACAGATGGGCAATCTCCTCCCATGTGATTTCCAGTCTGAAAACCTGCTGGAGGGTGTTGGTTCCAACTTGCTGGCAGTGAGAATTTACATGTATTAGTTTTGTGTTGATGCCATAAAAAATTAATACTGAGTAAGTGCCTTTAAAAACATTACCATTGTATAGGTCAGAAGTACAACATGGGTCTTAGCTGATAGGGTTATCTTCCTTCTGGGGTACCTGAGGGAAGGATATCTTGTTGTTAGGTTGTTGGCAGAATTCCTTTACTTATGATTTTAGAATTGATATTCCTATTCTTTTGACATAAGAAAGGTGATGGTGGGGTGGAGTGGCTGTGCCTTTCACTGATCCACAAGGAGGAACAGTCCCTATCCACAACCTCCACAGCACTGAATTGACTTCCCTGGGGTCAGACATGCTCCTATGCTCTCAAAACCTATTTTTACTAATTTTAATGCCAGTCATCCCTCCAGAGGTTCTGACTACGCAATTACTGGGCCTGGTAATTCAATGCAATGACCACAAAGACCTCACAAATCTATACTCCTATTATGGAGTCTACTGGACAAGTTAACAGGTTACAATTCAAATTGGAAACAGGATGCAATTCTTCAATGAGATCAGCTTCTTAGGCATGCCTGCAGATCCTTGGACTTTCAGGCTCATGGCCTTAGGCCAGTGTTACAAAGTTCTCCTAGCCCTACCAACTATGGTGTTTCCACACTCCACCTCATCCCAAGTCTTCCCAGAAAGCTTGAGTGAACTCCCTGGCTCTGCGTCCACTGAGCAGCAGTCTCTGCTCAGTTCTGTCTCGTGGTGGATTTCTAGTTGTCCACTGTCACTGCTGTGATGTCTAGATCTCAATTGGTTGCAGTCTCACACAAGAATCTCTGCTTCTTTCTTGTTGGCAGCAAGATTCCCTTTTTATGTCTCTAAACCACCTCAATTTAAACTTAGCAAGATAGAAACATTGACCAGCCCCAGGAAGAGTTTACACATCCTGTTTGCATGTTCTTACCAAGCTATGCGGCAAAGACCACGGCATGGGCTAGGAAAGCCTTGTGAACAATAACCCCTCTCTAACATCACACAAAACTTCAAGCAGGATTTAGAAAAGGCTTCGGCACTAGGGATATCAATGCTGACGATGTCAGATGGATATGGCTGAAAGTAAAGAATACCAGACGAATATCTGTTTGTGCTTTATTGACTACGCAAAGGCATTTGACTGTGTGCATCACAACAAGTTGTGGCTGACATTGAGAAGAATGAAAATCCCAGAGCATTTAATTGTGCTCGTGCAGAACCTATACCTAGACCAGCAGGCTGTTGTGTGAACAGAGTAGGAGAACACTGCATGGTTTCAAAACTGGGAAGGGAATGCATCAGGGTTGTAGTCTCTCTCCATAGCTATTCCATCTGTATGCTGAGAAAATTATTTGAGAAGCTGAAATCTATGAAGAGGAATGTGGCATGAAGACTGGAGGAAGACTCATCAATAACCTGCATTATGCACATGACACAAGCATGAGGAGGACTTGAAGTACTTGTTGCAGAAGATTAAGGAATGCAGTCTTCAATGTGGATTGCATCCCAGTGTCAAGAAAACAAAGATTCTGACCAGTGGACTGATGGGCAACATCATGATGGATGATGAAGAGATTGAAACTGTCAACAATTTCATCTTACTTGGATTCGCAATTAACACCTTTGGTACCAGAGTCAGGAAATAAGGATACACACTGCACTGGGTAAGTTAGGGACCTCTCCAAATTATTGAGAAGTAATGATGTCAGTTTTAGGCCATGGCCTTTCTGATCACTTGCTTTGCCTCTGAAAGCTGGACAATTAATAAGGATGACAGAAGAGGAATTAATACCTTTGAGCTGTGGTGTTACAGAAGAGCACTGAATATTCCATGGATGGACAAGCGAACAAACAAATATGTCTTGGAGAGGGAGTAGTCAGAGTGTCCTTTGGAGGTAAAGATGATGAGACTTTGCTTCACATACTTCAGGCATGGAGTATTAGAGTATTTTTAGGAATTATACAAAAATAGCAAATGATATTTGCTGATTTTATCTGAAACAGGATAAGAGTTCACTCTGAAGAGGACCAGGACTTACACATTTTCTCCTGAAGGTTTTCCCATTCCCTTGTTCCTTCCTTTCAGCTGTACAAAGAAGATACATATACAGATATCTAATCTTGTCTCTTTTCAGTATAAAAGACAGGTGAATATAGGGGCAAGCACATAAAAGCATGCAAACAACATATGCAAGCAAATCTTCAGTAAAGACAGTGAATATCTACTGCCTTCCTATTAATAATTACACTAAAGCCTCACTCTACTCACTGACGTTGACTCAGAACTGACTCATAGCTGACCCATCATTGATTGGGTTTCCAGGTTGCAAAGTGGAAGGGAGGAAACTAATCATCTTTCTCTCACAAAGCAGTTGACAGATTCAAACCAGAGAAATGGGAACTATGATTTAGCAGAGCCACTCCCTATCAACTAGGCCACCAGAGCTGCCTCATTCTAAAGTTAAGTGGTATTTTTCCCTTTTCAGATCATATTCTCATTCACCAAAGATATTATAAACTGTAAAATCTATGTTGCTATGAGTTTTCCAATCACAATTCATTTGAGAGGAGCTCTGGTGGCACAGTAGGAACTGAGCTTCTAAGCCAAAAACGAGGCTCTCTGGCAGTTCTAATACACTAGTAGCTCTGAGGGCGAAAGATAGCAATCTCTTCTCATGTAATTAACAACCTTGAAAACCCAATGTAGGATCAGCTATGAGTTAGGTCCAATTACACATAAGCCTTTCAAAGAATTCATATCTAATTTTTAAAAAGACACAGTATTTATTTCTTTATATAGTACTTTATTTCATACCCTTTCAAAGGATTCATATATAATTTTTCAAAAAGACATAGTATTTATTTCTTTGCTTTTTTTCATCTGAATGTACTCTAACTATCCTCATCTTCTTTACCTTCCGGCTGCTGGTAGGGACACAGGATGGTCAATCAGGTATTTGAACTTGTTCCTTCTCACAGGGTGATGCCAGACGTGGTCTACTGAGCGCATCAGGCTACCCTAAGAAAATGCAAAATTGCATGAATATACAGCAGAGGGCGCTCGAGTAAAGCAGAATCTATTTGTAATACCTGACCAAGTACATTAAGGATATTCTAAGGGCTCAAGCGTGCTGGAGATGGTGAGGACGGCAGGGCAAGGCTCAGAGGGCCTCTATGAACTGCAGTTGGCTCAAAAGCACATAACTTCAACATAGGGAAAGAGAGCAAAATTTTTATTCCATAATGTGGAGAATTAAACTAGAACAATTCAATAGTAAAAGAAAAATAACAATAGAATACAAATGTAATCAACAACTTGTGCGTCAGCTAGTATTAATGTGTAGCTGTTAATTCTAACTTTAGCTTGAATTAAAGGATTTGGGGGGACCAATTAATTTATTGCTAGTTTTTAAATGTCTTTAAACAGATGCAACAATAATGGAAGTCTAGGCCATGGGGCCATATTTATCTGTGTTCCTATGGAAACCATTTAAATATTTGTTTTATACACATTTTTAATAACTTCTCACACATGCTACTAAAGAATGCACCCAGCCGCTGAGCAAGCATTTGTAGCTTGTTCAGGGGCAGAATGGGCCAAATGTTAGTGTTGTGACCTGCTTTAAAAATAAAGTAACTTAGGGGGGAAACTACAAATGATGAATAATGATTTAGGAAAGGAGCCTGGGAGGGATGATAGTTAAATACTCAACTGGTAGCCAGAAGACTGGGAGATCAAACCTACCCAGAGGTGCCTTGGGAGAAAGGTCGGGCAGTAAGTTTCTCAAAGGTCCCAGCCTTAAAAACCCTGTAGAGCAGTTCAGCCATGAACAGGGCATTGGCATGAGCTGAATCAATGTGGCAGCAACTAACAATGACAACTTTGGTAAATTTACATAAAAACGAATCATTAAAATAGTCAAGCATTTGCCTTGGACTTTAATTTTCAATCTAAGAAATTAAAAAATGAAAGCTATCTATCTATCTATCTATCTATCTACCTACCTACCTATCTACCTTTACTAAATATTTATTAAAATACTGTAAAAAATTAGTGTTTCCAAGAACTCTACATATATATTCAAACATACCTTTGGGCTTTTACTTTTCTTAGGAGGAAGTAAGTTTTCAGGACAAGCACCAGCATTAGCTGCAGAGGTCAGAGAAAGAAGAAATTCCTCTGGTATGGAATCATTCTGGAGTGAAGTAGGAAGTGGTTTTGAATGATCCACCAAATATTTTTTCTCTCTCAGTTCAGGAAGTCCTGAAAACCCAATGGGAAAGAACAGTTTTTTACAGAGTTAGTTGGAATTTCCTGGCCAATTTCAAGAATGTTTCTAATAGAAATAAACACTGCTTCTACTGATGAGAATCCTAACAAACAATATTTAAAACACAATGATCACCCAGTCAAGGGAAAAAAACACACCCAATATATTCCCCTCACCAATTAGATAGAAGCTAAAAAATTCATGTACCAACATCAACCTTCATGATCTCAAATCCAAAGTTAAGATATTCACTTCCCTCGCTCAATTAACTTGGATAGGGGTGTGTGTATATGTTTGTGTGTGTTGTACTGTGTAGTTGGATCTGACCTGACCCTTTGGTGGGATTTCAGAGGAAGTTAATCATATGGGAGGAGATTTCTCATCCTTCTTCCTCAGAGCAGCTGATGAATTTAAACCTTGCACCTTCAGGACTGCAGTACAGCTTCTTGTCACTAGGCCATCAGAGCTCCAGTTTCAAAGTACAGGGATATTTGTTTTCCTCTGTGATGTGAAAATTATTCCAAAAGCTAACAATTATTTAGTAATTTTTCACTCTATATGTTTAAAGAAGGATTCATTTGGTTGAGACATTTATAGAAGAGATCTGAGTTGGGTTTCAAAGTAAGAGTAGAAACGAGATAGTTGGAAATGAAGACAGGATATTCTTGGAAAACTGGTGGTAAAAGAATGGTAAAAAGCTTGACTAGGACAGATTATAAAGGTTGGGAAAAGTTCTCTTACGAAGTTGGTCACAAGTGTGTTGACACTTATTCTTAAAGAACTCCCCAAGAGTCTATACCCCCTCACTTAAGATAGTATATATATTAATTTTTATAAGAAAGTATCCTATTTTCCCACAACTCAACTTATAGCCAAACAACAGACAGGCTTATAAAGTGATCAATACCATGAGTGAGGCATTCACTCCTTAGAATCACCAACTGTGCAAGATCAAAAGGGCAGCATTTGTCCAGGGATAAAGTTCAGAAGGTAGGGGGAAAAAAAGGCTAACTGAAAATGAAAAACAGGGAGAACATAGGGAGTGTAATCAATGCCATGAAATGTATATGAATTGTTATTTAGAAAACTGACTTGGTCTGTAAATTTTACACTCACAATTAAAAGTTTATAAAAATAAAGTATCATACTTTGATCATTATCAAAAGATTTAAAGGCTCATATTACCAAGATTCTATGAAGTCTCTTCTGACATCCATTTTGGATTTTTCTTTCTTCCCTGCTTACACTTTCTTTATGGCTGATATCCTTGATCTCATCACATAATTCATCCGGTCTTCAGTCATTAGTGTTCAATGTACAAAATCTATTATTTTTTTCTTTTTTTTATTAATTTCGTTTATTTTTCATTTCAATGAACATCTACAGAGATTTTGGAATTCCATTCATTCATTGTTGCACCCTTCTCCCCGCACAAACCCCTCCCCCACCCATTTGCTCCTCTCCTTGAAAAGCAAAAGAAAAACTCCCTCATTGGTACACAATCCCCCCCCAACCTCCCCAAACCCCACCCCCTACCCCCAAATATAATCCACTCTGCAACCCTCATTGCATACTCCTACGATAAAAATAATGCCCTAAAATATAATACTTTTAGACTATTCTCTCCCCCATAAACTTCAATGCCGTAAAACAAAATCTATTATTGTGATGGTTTTCAAATTCAGTTGGCATAAAATCAAGGTCTTCTTTTGCTTCTCATAGCCTTGTTTTAATTTTCTTCATTTTTAATTTGAACTGGTATATGAGTAATTGATAATACACTTCAAAGAAAGCCCATGGCCTTGTTTGCTGATGTTGAGCTTTGCCATCTACTCTTTCCAAAGATGCGGTCACTGATTTCTGTGTAGTCTGCCAGCAATGGTCCATGTGTATAGTTAGTTGTTGTCTATGTTTTTCAAAAAAGGAATTTGCTGTGAATAAACCATTTATTATACAAAATTTTATCATTCAAAATCCAGTCTCATTTTTGTCACCAAGGCTGTATTTCCAATTACCAGGTTTTTTCAAACTAATGCATTCCACTCATCAATTATTTTTAACACTTCTTGCACCAAAATGTAAAGAAGTCAAAACAAAGGGGAAGAAATGCTGGAGTGAGAAAACTGAAAAGAAGATTTCAAAGGGAAACTCTAAAAGGCAAAGCAAGTATTATAATGAAATGTGCAAGAGTTGCACTGAGAAAACCAAAAGGGAAGAATACAGTCAGCATTTTTCAAGCTAAAAGAGCTGAAGAACAAATTCAAGCTTCTAGTTGCAATACGGAAGGATTCTAGGGGGAAAATCTTGAATGTTGCAGGAAGCATTAAAAAAAAAGATGGAAGGGTGCTCGCTTCAGCAGCACATATACTAAAAAGTTAATGATACAGAGACTATTAGCATGGCATCTGCGCAGGATGACACTCCAAAAAAGATGGAAGGAACACACAGAGTTATTGCATTAAAAAGAACTGGTCAATACCAAATCATTTCAGAAAGTAGCATATGATCAAGGACTAGTGGCAACATAGGAAGAAGCTCAAGGTGCAAAGAAAAAAAAAGCTGGCATAAAGTAAGGCTCTGAGAATTGGCGGAATATCAATGGACATGTTTCAAGAAGCAGATGCAGCGCTGAACATGATTACCAGTTAATGCCAAGAAGTTTGGAAGACCTGGTCACCTCACTAGAAGAGATCCCTATCTGTACTCATGAAAAAGAAATATGATCCAATAGAGTATAGAAATTATTGAACAATATCATTACTATCACATACAAATAAAATTTCGCAGTTGATTATTTTAAAAGGGCTAGAATAAATACATGAACAGGGAACTGCTACAAATTCAAGCCAGATTCAGAGGAGGCCACGGCACAAGGGATATCACAGAAGAAGTCAGTTGGATCTTCGCTGAAAGAAGAGAATGTCAGAGTGGTAGATAAAAGAAATGTGAAAGATCCAGTGTGAAAAATAATGTATATGAACATGGTAATCAAATCAGTTGCTGTTGTGTTGTTGTTAGGTGCCGTCGAGTTGTAGACAACTCATAGCGACTCTATGAACAAAAGGCCTGAGCACTGTTCGTACACAGTTTCCAGAGGCAAGCCATTTCTGAAGTGGATGCCGCTCCTGCTTCCAGGCTTGTTTTAGTTGGGAAGCTCCAGCAAACAATGTCCATCATGGGTACCCATTACCACATTTGGCACATCAGTGTCACAGTGCTCAGCATCACAGCAACCACGAGTTACCTCTGTACAGCAACAAACAGACCAGTGCTATACTACCTAGAAGAATGTATCAAATTGGTATAAAATAAAAACTTTTATTTAAGAAAAAGAAAAACAAGAGAGAAGCAGCACAGTAACAGGGGCCTCCAGTCAATTCCCATTCAACTTGGAAGCAATCACAGACGTGTGCGTTCAGTAAAGACCAGAAGAACTGCCAGCAAAAGTGTGGGCTAAATAAAATGGTTGCTGTTTTGTTGTTACGTGCTGTCGAGGTGCTTGTGACTCATAGCAACCCTATGTACAATAGCCCTGAAACCTGCTCTATCCTGTGCCAACTTGACTGTCTCTGACACATTTACCTTCATTATTCCAGTCACTGAATCAATCCATCTCACTGAGGATCTTCCTCTCTTTCTCTGTCCCTCCACCCTTCCAAGCATGATGTCTGTCTCTAAAGACTGGTCCTTCCTTGCAACATACCTGGAGTATGTCAGACAAAGCCTCAGAATCCTTGTCTCTAAGGAACAGCCTGGTTTTACCCCCTCTAGGATGAACCTGTTTGTTGTCCTGGCAGTCCATGGTATATCCAACACACTTTTCCAGCACCACATTTCAAAAGCATCAATTATCTTTCTATCATCCCGAGTTATTGTCCAGTTCTCTGATGATTAGCAAGCAATTTCAAAGACTGTGGCCTGGATCAGGCGCTCTTTAGTCTCCAGATTGACATTGCTGTTCTTCAGTACTCTGGAGAGGTCCGTGACAGCAGACTTTCCCAATGCAATTTGTCTCTTGATTTCCTGGCTGCTGGTACCAAGATTGTTGACTGTGGAACCAAGCAAACTCAAGCTGTTAACAATCTCAATCTTTTCATCATCTATCATGATGCTGCCAATTGACCCAGTGGTGAGAATCTTTGTTTTCTTGATGTTGAGCTTCAATCCATATTGAAGGCAGCAGCTCTTGACCTCCGACCTTCCGTAGCAATCACTTCAGGTTCTCCTCAGTTTCTGCAAGCAGGGTTGTGTCATCTGCATAATACAGGTTGTTGATGAGTCTTCCTCCAATCCTGATGCCACATTCCTCCTCATACAGCCCAGCCTCCCAGATAATCTGTTCTGCATATAGACTGTAAAGTTATGGAGATAGGATACATCCCTGGCATATACTTTCCTAATTTTGAACCAAGCGGTGTTTCCTTGCTCCATTCTGACAACTACCTCCTGGTCCAAGTTTAGTTTCACATAAGCATGATCAAGTGTTCTGGGATTCCCATTCTTCTCAGTTAGCCACCGTTTTTCGTGAGTCCCACAGTCAAATGTCTTTGCATAGTCAATGAAACACAGATAGACATCCCTCTGGTACTATCTGCTTTCAGCCAAGATCCACCTAACATTAGCTATAATATCCTCAGTGCCACAGCTTCTTCTAAACCCAGCCTGAACATCTGGCAGTTCCCTGTTGACGTGTTGCTCCAGTCATTTTTGGATCATTTTCAGCAGAATCTTGCTCGCATGTGATAGTAATGATCTTGTTTGATAATTTCTGCACTCTGCCAGGTCACCTATTTTTAAAATGGAAACAAATATAGAGCTCTTCCGGTCAGTTGGCCAGGTGATTGTTCTCCAGATTTCTTGACACAACTTAGTGAGCACATCCAGGGCAGCATCTGCTTGTTGAAATATGTCAATTGGTATGGTGTCAATTCCTGGGGCCTTGTTTTTTGCCAATTCTTTCAGAGCAGCTTGAACTTCTTCATCACCACAGGAT